TTATTTTGTTTTTCCAAGTGACAGTGGGAAGTTACTCTTGGACCAATTTAAACCCTTGGTCGGGTACATGTATTGCATGATTCGACTAGTTAAGACTAAAGTTAACAAGGAAAGTTATGCAACTCTTATTTCCAAAACATGTCATTGCATCTAGTGAAATTCACATATATTGATTTGGTCTTTTTGCACTTGTTATTTCAACAATGGTAGAACCAAAGAGAGATGGAAAGTAAAGCGTTTTTCTTTTCAATTGTAACTCTACACTTCTATTTTTGCTTGTACAATACGATTTTGGATACAACATTTGATGTATTTTTTTCCTACGGCCTTAACCTATTTCTTTTTATTTTCAATTTTTTAAAACTTGAAGTACGATCCATGCCCAACCCATTCCTCGTGTAGTTCCGCCACTAATTTCAATTTCCACAATTCCATAGAGTGACTAGATTAGGTAAGAGTCGTAAGACCTTAGAGAAAAATGGCAATAACATGATCTTTTTGCGCTTATTTTGGCCTTAATGAGTGATATCACATGGTATATGGGGTTAGTTGATTCAAATTACAAGTTTGAAGGCTGAACTGCAAAAGCAAGAGTTTAGGGCTAACAATGGGTTTATGACTTTATTCATTATTTATTGTTCTTATGAATCTTATTTATTGATATTGTTCTTGTTTGGGTTTAAGATTCTAGATGACTTTGAAGGCTGCAATTTTATTTATTATTTACTAATTATACTTCCAAGAATTACAGAGGTGAATCACTTTTCAATTACACTTGGATCAAGAATGTTCACCTTCATTATAAAATAGTACAGCACAAAGCAGAGATAGAAAATTTGCTTCCCTTCTTCCCAAGAATTACAGTCTCGGAGAGAGGTAAAAGCCATGACCACCTGGAAGCAGTAAAGTGAAAATGGATTTAATATTGACCGCTTGAATTTTACTCGCCTTTCAATTTAATGGAATCTTGCCTAACTGCTGTAAAAACCATCAAGAAGATATGGGCCTTCTGTACTTCTACTCCATCTTTTGATTGTCCCAAGTTTGATGTTCCTTCTTTCCCTCTTCTTGATTTTCTTAAGTACATATAATGAACCGTTATGCAACATGAAATGCCCATATCTTTTTCCAAATCTACCCACATCCGTTTCAATGTTCGAATATAAAACATTTTAACTTAATTAAAGTCTCAAGTTCTTACGACTTGAGTTGAGACATCTTTCTCAGCTCCCCTCTTCTTAATAAAACAAGAGGCATTGCATGATACGTAATCTATACAAGGGTACAGCTATTTCCACATCGGATTTTGCCGTGTCCATGCTAAAACTTATAGTGGGCTCACTTTCATGAAATAGAAGCTGGACCCAGAAAGGAATTGTATGGATGCAACATAAAACTCAGTCCTAAATACAAGTTTTATTGTTATCAATATGCATGGTGGTGTACGATATGGGTGTCTTATGTTGACCTAAAACTTTGATCATCATACATTATATGCTTAAGCCAGGCGTCCTTTATTATATCTAGCCCTTTTTTTCTGAAACCATGCAACGACAGGACCAACTCAGGCATGCTAAGTGTTTAGCAAATATGATTTCAGTGCCGTTTTGATCAACTCCATGTATGTGTATAATAGGAGAAAACGGCTACAAGAAAATACAGCTGGAATTTGTAACATAAAAGGTTAAGCAAATGTTTACTCAGAAGCAGGTAATCTGTCTTTGAGTTTATGGAAGTAAGATTTGTACCTCTGTGCTAATCCAAAAAGGCCTAATGTGCCTCCAGTATGAAGCATCACCACATCAGCATCATCTTCAGCGTTCTTACTTCTAAGAAGCGTTGCCATTTCCCAAGCTGCTAAGGTATACACAGGATCCACTAGAATTCCAGTTTGCTGTGCAATTTGTTGGCAAGCCTCTATTTCCCCTTGCAAAACATTGCCAAATCTGGAAGAAGGGATAAAAAAGAGAGGAATTAGTATAAACCCATATAACTCCACAAAAAATACTTAATGCTTGATAAATTTTTGTTTGAGGTCATCTAATAGATGCAAAGATCAACCTTGGCAATTTGTGAATTTAATTCCTCAGTTTCACTGTTTTCATGTCAGACAGTTCAAAACCATGCTTTAATTATTTAACCCTTCTCTACTCCGACTCTTAATGATTAAGGAGAAAACTTATTCCTAGAATGTTGAATCTAGTGAAGAACTGAATCACAGTTAAATGACTCAAACTGTTATACTGACATAAATTATCACAATTAATAGCCAAATTATAGGTAATTCAAAATTACAATTACTACAAGATAAACCAAGGTTTAAAGAATGAAGAACAGATAACATGGATACTTAGCAACTCTCTTATGTGACACAAACACAATACTAGAACTAAGACCATCCTCCCAAGAGTCAACTTTTTGCCAGGAAACTTGTAGTGTAATTGTCACTCAACTCTCCCCTAATCTCCCAGGTTGGTCCATATTCTTATTCATTTAAATTTAAACATAATATTCTTCCCAACCTCAGGTTTATTTAGGAACCATAAAAACTATTACTTGTTCCTGCCACAAGGTCTCTTGTAAATCTTTTTGTATGACAAATTGTTTATATCATGAAACTCATCCATGGTGCAACATAGATTAGAAACTAGTTTCTGCATAAGTTAAATAGAAGGAAAAAAACCTATGACAAAAAGAGGTAGGATTTACACACTTTCTTTCATGGCAACGGTCCACCCAGTGCACAATTCCAACATCTACTTCATTTAGTTTGTGATCATCAAGTGTAAAATGAAATTGCCTCTTGAAGTCAGAGATTAAACGGCTCTCCTGTTCTCTGTATGCATCAATTTTGTCAGCCAACATAACAGCAGTAACCTTCCATGGGAGCCTGGGAAAAGCAACAGCAGAAATGATTAGTGCCGCGATAACATATTTGGATTAAAAGTTGATCTTGTAACAAAACAATCTAATTGGAAAAGTTCTAAGTTCAACAACATGGAAATATAATGGAAAGAAGCACAGACCCTAAACATAGAGCTCCAAGTCCCAAACCAATAGCTGTTGTTCCAGTCCCAGCATCTACAATAAAATTTAAAGTCCTCTTTCTTCCAAGTAAATGGTCCTGGGATAAATATTGCACCAGACGAAATATACCTATAGGAAATAGTACCGGAATAAGTAAAGCCCTTCTATCAATCAGCTAAGCACCAAAGCTGTGATGAGAGAATCAACTTAAACCCAGAAATTAAATAATTAGCATATGATAGGATAGAGGTTTATAAAGACCAATAGATTTCAGTAAGAAAATAAATCCCAAATGATCAGGGAGAAAGAAGTCCAACAAAATTAAGATGGTGCCAAATAACAAAGATTTGCAAAAATGAAGAGGTCACCCAGCCTTGGAAGTTTAGTTGAAGGGAGGTGGGAGTGGAGTTACACACGATGCCAAAATTTATACCCACACTGACTCTGTAACACCAGCAGATAAAAAAGTTCCCAAAAGGCATGCAGATATATTCACACAAAAATTCTAAAATTATGCTGAACCAAAAACAGGAAGCTTCATTACCTAGCATGGCTATAGCATCTGATGCACCTTCATTGACTATAATGACCTTTTTCAAGTGCCTCTCACTTGTACGGATACTAAAGCACTCCTCAATAATTTCATTGCAGTGTACAATGGAACCAGTATGACCTGCAACTAAACTAGCATGGCTCTGCAGCATTCCTTTCCTGTGAGCATAAAAGGACCTCGGCACATATGTTACATTTCCATACATTGTTGAAATGAGGTTATAGCCAGTTAGAATTTCAGGCTGCTCCCCACGTAGAAGCAAATGTGACTTGAGCCCCCTTTCTGCACATGAAACAGCTACAAACACAAGACTAAGTCAAAAGCAAGGCCTTTTTACCCAATAACTTAACACTTCCTGCAGAACATAACTATCACAAATATTGACTCCTGTAACTCCAGCATGAAAATACCCACCAACAGCTGCTGTATGCGCACTTTGACAACCTCCACATGTAACCTAGAAAAGGTCTTACTTGAATGTTATTTGGTCTTTAAAGTTCCTAACATTGAAAAGACATTTTTTTAATAAAAAAGAAGAAGTTGTAATCCATTTAAAGAAGAGGCTGATCATAAACTAGGAGAATCTCCCTTGCTAATAGCTAGAGGATATAATAATCTTCTCTTGCATGTCATAATAGCTGACGTCAACCACATAGGATATGTACATAATTTCAATGACTTCCTGTCAAAATATTTAAGGCAGATTAAACAACAACATCATCCAGCATTTAGTCCATCAATACTTGCTAGCTTAATACTGCCCTAAAATGACTCTGTCAGCACTCCATAACCTTAGCATGTCTGCCATGACAACATTACTGACCTATCCCATACACACATTTTACAGGTGCTAGCAAAGAGACGCACTAACACATGTCAAGATTTACACAAGTAATTGCCATCTTACAAACGAGAGGAAATACAATCTCACCACATCTGTCACGGAGTAATCTTCCATGAGAGGAAATAATGCATCCAGTTTTCTTGCTTTATTGCCATTAACCAAAGGATGTAACAAATCATCCCTAAGAATATAGAAAGATGGACCTTGATTCTCATCAATCATCTTGTTACCAAGATATGGCTCAGTATTGTTGAAGAAAGAAACATTAGCAAATGATCCCACTCCATTTTGTCTTTGTACAGGAGAAACTATTATTTGATGAATCTTAGTATCAGGGTTTTGCAGTGTCCATCTTCTGTCAAGCAATTTTGACATGAACTCTTCACCACTAAGTTTAATGTTGGAAGCAGCCTGGACTCACAGAAAAACAATGACAAACTTCTAGCTTAAAATCCCATAATTCTTTTATTCATGACAAGAACAAAGATGAATAATAATTTGTAAAGAAAGTCAACCATAGACTCAAAGAGGAAGCATGATTTAAAAGTAAAATAAAAAGGAAAACTTTATCTATCCCAAGTATGAGAAATTCAGAATTGGCTATAGAAAGAGTTGAAAGCGCAAATGAGATTATAAAAAGAAGAATCTGTGTCGCGCAAAGGGAGAAGGAAAGAACCTGAGAGCTGTTTAAGAGCTGTGCTGAACAGAAACCCTTTCTGCCGACCAATGTGGCGGCAGTCATGGTGGGCATGCGTTGAAGTTTCGTTCTCATCCCGGCCGATTTTTCACCTTCTAACGTTTCTATGGTTTCGGGAACAATGGGGTAACGATGTCCGAGGCTATGCTTCCAAACCCAAATGGATGAGGTTGTACCAGTGAAACGGGGCAAAACCTACTTTGAGCCCTCAAAGTTAAGTTTTTAATCCCTTATTTTATGGTTATGGTTAACTCTAGGTTAAATATGTTTTTTGGTCCTTTTACTATTAAAAAAAGTTTATTTTTGATCTTTATACTGAAAAAATCTCATTTTGAGTCCCTAAAATTTGAAATCCGACTCCTTTTTGATCCTTTCGTTAAATTTTTTTACAGGTAACAATCAATTAATGAAATTATGTGATGTGAAAAATCTACTTTGTAAAAAAAGAATGATGTGGACATATTTTTAAATCCACATTAACATTTCATTTTTTTTTTGTCTAATATAACTTTAAAAACCATTTAATTACATAATTATCATTATAAATATTTTAAAAGTTATTTTGTAATTACTTATTTACCCCCCCCAAAAAAAAGGATGTTCTTTTCAAACAAACAACTCCAGAAACATCTAGCAATAGAATCGGAAATGAACCCAATGCGGCAAAAGATTCAAGAAATTAAAACATCATGAGATACACACATGAAAGCAAACTCAAATCTATAAATTTTATTTATGGGTTCATAAACTTAGTACAATGAAAATCTCATTCAAACAACCAAATCAAGCAAAATATTCCAAGATCTACGAGAAACCAGATCTTAAACACATGGAGCCAATTTCAAGGGACTGATTGCTTTTGGGTAGCCAACGCACACCTAGGTGAGATTATCGCGAACCCAAGCGTGATGAACCCAGGTCGCGCCTGGGTTGGTGATGAACCCAACAAAGGTTAAAAAAAAAAAAAGACCAGAAGGGTAAAGAAGATGGGGACAAATAAATAATTACCAAATAACCTTTAAAATATTTATGATGAATATTATGTAATTAAATGATTTTCAAAGTTATATTAGACAAAAAAAAAATGAAATGTTGATGTGAATTAAAAAATATGTCCACATCATTTTTCTTTTACAAAGTGGATTTTCCACATCACACAATTTTGTTAATTGACTGCCACTAGTAAAAAAATTTAATGGAGGGACCAAAAAGGGGTGGATTTCAAATTTTAAAGACTAAAAAAGAGATTTTTTCAGTATAAGGACCAAAAAAGAGCTTTTTTCAATAGTTGAGGGACCAAAAAAAATACTTAACCTTAACTATATTAGTTAAAAGTAAATTTTTATTAACTAATAATCAATTAATAGTCATTTAACAAAATGAACGAAATATTATAAAGTTAATTCTGTTAACTCTGTTAGTTAAAAAAAAGTTTTTATCAACTAACATGTAATTAACAATAAACTAATAAAGTTAACAGTCAATTAATATAATTAACAAAATATTACAAAATGAGGGTTATTTTCTTCAATTTTAATAGGTGAAAAGTTAAAAATATCACATATAAGGTAATATGCTAAAACCTATAAATCTAATAAAGTTAAGAACTAAAAGTATCATAATATCAAGTAAAAGATTAAAACCTTCAAACTTAATAAAATTAAAAGTTAAAAATAAATTTTTACTGTGAACGAGGCGTCAACCACATCAACCAAAGTTTTTATTTTATTTTATTTTTTAATACAATAAAAAAACAACTCATTTTCATTTCTTATTTTACCCTCTTACTTGTCATATGATTTAAAATTCAAAAACTTTTATTTATAGTAACATCAACTGATGCTTTTAGGTAAATTAATTTTAAGATTATTTACCAAAAAAATTACTAATTTTAAGATTTAAACTCTAGAGCTACTCTTTTACAAGATCACACATTATTTTAGGGGGTTCTAACGAGTTACCTTATTAAAGGCTCAGTTGAAACCATAATTCTCAAATTTTTATCTTAAATTAATTATTATTTTTATTTTTATAATAAATAAATATATTTTATTATAATTTTATCATTTATTCATTTTTATACTTTTAAATAATTTAAATTAATTATATAATAATA